TCTCGAGAAAACACTTTATATTATTAATGGTTTAGGATGTAACACGTAGCCCCTCTGGAGAGCGTCCCTTAGGAAGTCAGTGATTGTTTCGTGTCTGTGTCTCCGTTTATTATTTTGTCTTTGTGCAATCGTTTAATGTTGAAGGTGTTTCCCCACCGCCATTGGAGCTTCATGTGTGTCTTGTCCTTTCTCTGTGCAGTCGTTTAGTGTTCAAGTTGTTTCACGACTGTCACTGACCATGCACCAACTTGCCCAACTTAAACCGATAATCGCTTCGTAGCTTGGGCGCAAATGTCAATTTGTGCGTACTGCCGTTCCCTGTATGCGCGGCGCGGGTTTATCTGGCTGCTAGAAGGACATCTAGCAAACCTCCTTAGAACACGACGTCAAAACCGGCGGCTAGGACGACTTCTCGGACGACCTTTAAGGTGATCTCAAGGACTATCCTCAAGGACGACCTCAAGGGCGACGTCTAGAACGACATAGAGGAGGACGTACGCACGTATGCGGAACTGCGTAAGCGGACGTCCTTCGTGTGCACGGCGTCGCGCTTACGCACGGCGCCTTCGAGGCTTGATTCATACCACAAAACCCGCTTAAAGTTGCAAAAGATTCATGTCTTATTAAAAAGCTTGATCAACTGGAATAAACATGCCACCTCCACGGGAGCAGCGACCACATGTGTACCATTCAAAATGTCGTCAAATATCTCTCCGCCACGCACAGAAGCATCCAATAAAGTATCGATTCGTATAGTCTTCAAGAGCAGCTGTTGAAAGTCGTCAACTTTATTTTGCAAGCTTCTGCTGTTGACAATAGCAACCGCCATCGAGCAAGCGACATCGAGCACGTAGTCAGTGCCGAACAATCGATTTTCTGACAGGATTCCAGGAATATTTCGCATTGTCTCGAAACAAGCTGTCATATTTTAAGACTGTCTTTGTTCCCTCTCACCGATATGCCCTTGCACAATCCCACAAGTGTTATTTTCTTTTCGCAAGCAACATTCAAAATGTCATCGGATGTGAGGTAGAATTCTCCAGGTTTCGAATATTCGTGAGGAAGTTTTGCTTTTAGTGCAATTCTATTTACAAGTCGTTAAAATCCCGCCATTTTGGACCCTCTTCCATATTTTGACTCAATTGAATATACTCGCGTGTGCAAGTCGGCAAGACAGGTGTCAGACGAATTTTGGCTGTCTTCAATTGAGACAAGCTTATTCACCAAGCTCTTCTGGCCGTTAAAAACTGCTGAGCATCATAAAAAAATGCAATGTGTACTGCAAATATTACAGTATTATTTCCGGACTCGTATCAAGAATACTCTAAGCACGTTCGCTTCATAGATATGCCTGCTTCCAACATGTCTGTGCAAATATTTGTGACAGATATGACACGACTGTTTTACAAAGATTAAACATACATTAGACAGCATCTGCGGACTGTCTTTCTTATATGTTGGCGACGTGACCACGACGCAACGCTTCGTCTTTGACACATCGTGTGAATCTGAAACAACTTTGGGGCGTCCCTTTCTTTCCAGAAGAGACGTTCAACATAGGAGAGGCTACGCCTGAGTGAAACGTCGCCTGCCACTGTGAAGTTTCAACGATGTGTTTTTTTTTTTCGATATTTACTCAAAAGCTTTAAGTTTGTCTTGTCGCTTTATTAACAATTGGTTGTGGTTTGGGGAACGTTGTAGTACGCAAGACACAGTTTCGAGGAGGCAAAAATAATTTAGATGAAAATTCCCACGTGCATAGTTTTATACGCAATGTACTACCTGCCTTTACATGGATGCGATTCAAGCGCATCCAGCTAAGCTAGCGCATTGATTTTATTAATTCTATAATTTTTTCTTACTGCCAGCCGTAAGGCCAGGGCAGTAGTGGTACAAATAGCAAACATAAACAAAATGTCATAATTACATACAAAAAGATATGAATAAAAAGAAAATTATTACATGCATGCACAAACTCCAGTTCTTTTGCAAATGACATGAAATCTTCGGAATTGACAACACGTGAGGTTAGCTTGTTCCATTCATATATACACCGAACAAAAAAGAAGTAGTTAAAACGATCTGTTGAGCACCAATATGGTTGAATATCATAATTATGTTTTGTTCTATAATGCATAGGTTCGGGAGTTATATATTTCGAAACTTCTATTCTGTAATATCTATTCAAAATCTGAAAAAAAAGTTTCATTTTGCTTATAGCCAACCTGGTTTGAACACTGCATAGGTTTGCTCGGGACCTGAGTGCGGAGACAGAGTCGGTTGATTTGTAACTATTGAATATAAATAGCACTGCTTTGTTTTGTAGTCTTTCTAGAATACGAACATTTCTAGTGGTAAATGACTCCCATACAGGGCTCGCATATTCAATGGCTGGTAAAATCAGACATTCAAGAACCATTAATTTTACTTCTGGACTCGCATGATCTATCTTTCTTCTGATCATCCACAGTTTTTTAAATCCTTTTTGAAATAAATGATCGATATGGGAGTTCCAGCTTTGATCGAAGCTTAAGAGCACTTCCAAATATTTCTACTCAGTAACTTTATTCAAAAAAGGCCGTTTATCTTATAGTTAAATTCCAGAATTTGTTTTTTTTGCACGTCACATTCATATAGACAGTGTTCTTAATATTCAGTTCAATCTGCCACTCAGTACACAATTTATCTATTTTGCTCAGATGCCTGTCTAGGTTGTCTTGATCATGAACGGAGGAAATAGTACAATATACTATGGTGTCATCTGCAAAATGCTTTAAACTTATCGCAGGATCGAATCCGTCACTCATGTCGCTGATATACAATATAAAAAGGAGCGGTCCAAGCACAGAACCCTGCGGAACACCAGATAACACCCCCGCTCCAAAAACCCGCAGACCCATGGGGTTATGAAACCGTGTGGGTCCCACAGAAATTGTGTGGGTGTTCGGGTTCCTATGGGTCCCCGCACAGTTTGTTTGGGTGTGCGGGTCCCCACAGAGTGTGTGGGTGTATAGGTCCCCATGGGTCCCCGCACAGTCTGTGTGGGTCTACGGGAGCTGTGTGGGTCCTGCAGAGATCCTATAGGAGCTGTGTAGGACCAAAGTCCCGTGGGAGCCGTGTGGGTAACCCATAGGGTTCATAACCCCATGCTCTGTGGGCAATCTCTGTGGGAACCTGTGGGGGAATGCATGCTTGACACCGTATTTCACTGCAGACCATTGCCAAGAACCGGCTGGTTCTATTTTTATTTACCGATTGGCTCTTCATTTCTCTTGCTTTCGCCGGTCGTTCATTTTTTCTTCCAGTATGTGGTTTACTTTTGCTGTCCTCGACATTACAGCAATGACATCTGCATGGTGCTTTTGGCCACGGAGCTTCATCATTAGGCATTCTGAAAAATATGCAATGACAAAATATTTAAAGGAGCACAATTTGTAGACGTAAGGCTTGAACTAATGTTCATTAAAATACCATGCCACATCACTTTCATGAACAGTTTAATTTGGAATAGCCTTTAATAATGACGCTCTTGAAGAATGCAAATGCAACATGCCCTATAAAATCAATTAAAAAGTTAATTAACAAATCTGGGTTGATTAGTCAACATATTGTGACGGTTATCCCCTTATCTATGTCCGCCGAGCCCCACAAATCTCTCGCCCTCTTTTTTAAATTACGTTCAAACTAAAATGGCACGATCTGTATGATGCTGAACCCGATTATATCGAACTTAGTATCAAACTTTGTGAACAGACTAGTAGCTGCTGTAAAAATGCATAGCGAAAAATGCGGTTACGTCGAAGGAAAATTGCAGCGTCTTCCGATAGATAGAACTGCCAAGAGCGCCTGTTTAGCTTTGCAAGCTGGCTTTCTCCCAGCACGAAGACGCATTCGGGGAAAGCCAGCTTGCGGAAAAAGCTTGCCGTTTTTGGGCGGGAGGGAGGGGGGGGGGGGGGGCAATTGCGTCGGCCCCCCGGAAGTGGGGAGAGGATGATCCGGTGAGATCTTGAAAAACGAAGAAGCGGCCACTGAATAGCCATGTGGAGTGTCCCTTATGACGTACAGACGCTCCTTCGAGAGTAAACAACTTTTCTAAATATGTCGTGTTTGTTTGTTGTCAGATTCATTCGAACTTTCATGTAGAATTACCCGCTATATCGAACTGGTAGACTGTCTTTTGCGAGTTCGACATAAGTGGGTTTGACTCTATAGCAATTCGTAATCATCGCCATTTGAAAGCTTTTTATGTCCAGTTCCTGCTTTTGACAAATATTGGGCTTATGAAAGATACCGTCACAATGTCACCGTTTTCCACCATCAAAAACCTTAGAAAAAAGTGCTGGTTATACCCTTAATGTAATTTTTTTACACTTATGCCTGACTGCACGGGCCGCTAGCAAATGCCAAGCAGGCCGCGTGTTTGAGACACAACATATGGTGCCCCTCTCCTATCTAATGTTTGAGCGAACCAAGATAAAACCATTAAAAAAGAAGTACAATGCTGATGCAGAATTCAGTTTAGAGAAAGTGATTAAGAGTGTTCAAACATCCTACCAGTCATTGAGAGTACTAATATACATCACATATTACAACCCTGCTTTTATTTGCCACTGCATGACAAGTACTTTGAGCTACTGTAATTTTAAACAATACCTACTGGGAGTTAACAATGTTCCATGGGCACATTAAAGTGACCAGATAAATGGGCATATTTCGCTGATATATTACAAGAGAATGCCTGAAAGCGGTGGTTTTAATATTTCTAAGTTAAGGACATAAACCCCCTTGCGTCAAAAAGAAGAATGAAGAGAATTGTTGCAAAGTGCAACAGTTCTCTCCACGAAAAGAAAATTTCGCAGAGCCTTTTTTTTTCTTTTTTTTTGGTGAAGACATCAGTTTATTCAGGGTCACTATAGCATGTACTGCAACTGCAAATGATTGTAATAAAAAGGAAATGCCCTACGCATTGCTTAATTCATATAGCCGAAATAAAGGCCAGTGGCACAAAAAAAAATATAAATCTGGTGTTGGCACGCAAAAAATAAAAAAAAATATAGCTTTTGTGTTTTACCGAGGTTACCTAATCTTCCTATAATTTTACTGAAAGCTTCCACCATTATGTCACAGCTGTGTGCTCAATCCTATCAGTTTTATGCGGTCTATCCAAAGATCACCGAAACATTGTGAACTCCCAGTATAATACCAACTAGCTGCCAAGATACTGCCTTGATTGAGAAGATTTTTCAAATAACTGCTTAGGTTACGCTTACGTGAGATAATTTGCACTCGCCTCTTAGGAATGGGGCTTTCTTGGGTGTCAGAGGCAGCCTGCTGTCCTTGTTAAGACTCACATTCGACGCCATTTCGGCCACAGTCCTCTGCAGGACACTGGACCCCCACAGAGCAACGGTCAGGTTCTTCACAGCAACGCTTGACCTTATGTCCTGGTTCACTATGTTGTCACCCCAGGCTTTCCACGTCACCTTGACATCAACCGTCGTAGACATGCATCTATAAAAAATTAGAATAGGAAGCGAAACCGGTGTATTCGGTGGTGAGATCCTCCTTTCATGAAATGCTGCTTCGTGCATATTGATTAAAGCAAGTTTCGTTAGTTTAACTCCTTTTTTAGTTGAATCATCTTCAAAAATCCTGCGAAGCTCCCATACAACACTACTACGGTGCTCGAGCTATCAAGTTCTTTTATTACGTTCCCTGATTCTGCCGCTGTCAACTGCAAGGGGTACTGGGTGACAAGCCCTCTTGTAGTGTCGGCTGCTGGCGAAGATTATTTGGCCGGCTCAAAAAAACCTGACAGTGCGATCACTGGCTGGCCTTGTGATTTCGCTCTTCCCTTTCCAGCCCCCTTTGCCTCCATAGATGGTGTTTCATGAATTCCCCCCCCCCCCCCCGAACTTTTCGGTCGGCGTAATGGACAGAGAACATGAGAAGATGCGCCCACTGATTTGAGTTGCCGGTGCAAGGCGCGCCACTTTTTTACCTGTGTGGGGGGTTATCATGCAACCTCGAGCGTGGCTGGGACAATAAAACTAACGCTTTAAAAGAAAAGAAGGCACTTTATGCTCCAAGAGTGCTGAGTTTCATTCCCATGTACCTGGTGAACATAGGAAGAATAGACCATTTTCAAAACCTAAGCAAGCAACATTGACAGTCGCCATTTGTTGGACATGAAAGCTGTGATTGGATCGAAGACCACGTGAAATGCTGACGTTGCACTCACGTCTAACCACGCCAATCACTGACACGGCACTTGTTTCCAACGAGTACTCGGAATTCGCGTTTAAGAAATGGCGGCCTTGGATATGCACACACTTCTGAAAAGGGTTTATTGTATGGGCCAAAGGTAATTAATGGGGAATACGATGCTCCAAGTCTTTCCGCCTAATGCACTCAAAATGTTGAGCAGAATGTTAGAGATGCAGGTTTAAACTTTCTACAAAGAGATGTCGCCTTAGATATGTTTTTCAAGACACTAAAACTTGGGTCTTACACCACTGCTGAAGTGATGCAACACCAAAAAACAATAATTTGTGGCGATGGTGCTGAAAGAGAGATCTTATTCGAGCAACATTTATCGAGATCTAGATGGTCAATGACAAATTGTCAAGGCCTTTTCATCTTGAAGACATTGTGCAAGCATAGAAATGCCTTCTATCCAGAGGTATCTCTTATAAAGCAAAAACGTACCAAATCAACTTACCATTTCACATTCTAGGAAGTTTAGCAGCTGATATGGCTCCACCTCAGTGGGCTCTTTAGCAGCTGCCTCAGCGGATGCAGGTCCGACTGTACCAGCTGCTCCATCTAAGGTTGCAGGTATTGCAGCTGCACCACCGAAGGCTGCACCTGTGTTGCACATGCTCTGCATCACAGGAGCTGGTGCTGCTGCCACTTATTTTGTGAAAAATATAAAAAAAATATATGGCATGAGTCAGAACAATGTGCAGGACTGCCACATGATGTGTGTAATGCTACAATAAAAGCTGAGAGTGGGGTCGCAAGTATATGCCGATTCAACCAACCACCCACCAGCTTGGAGCAATGCGGCTGCACTCCTGCCCCTGTGTATACATGGAGAGCAGTGCCACATAACACAAGGCTGATTGCAGTTTGGTCCAGCCCATACGCAGCTTCTATGACACTGTCAGCCAAAAACTTAATAGGTAGAGTAAGGGTCGTGGACTTGACATTTATGATGCTTTAGCTTGTCAAAGAGAGTATGTTGAATGCATACCATGCTCCTGCAGTCAAGTATTCGAGGTTAGGAAATAGCACGGAATATTTTTCATAAATATCTACTGCAAAGCTTTGCAACTCAGGAGTGTTCTGAAGAGTTTTACAGATTATAGCTTCTTGACTACACGGCTTGATAGACCGAGTAAAATGTTTTTGGGCATAAGTGAGGCAGAGATGTACAAGAATCGATGCAAAAAGTCCGCAGTACGTGGAGACCAGAGTTCGGAACAGGTGTGACAGCATTTGGCACGACAAATATGCCAATGTCATTATTTATTTTCGCAACATTAAAATGACTCTGAAAATGCGACCAGCTATGGGGTGTTTTCACGCAAGTCTTGTGAGTGTTGAACTTTAAGTACAGCTCCTGGTTGTGCCCTTGTGCGATATATGACAAAATATTATAGATATTAATACTGGAAACTTCTCTGAAAACCAATGGGCACGGTGGCGAAGGACGTGAGAGGCACTGTTTACCACTCTTGCCGTTCGTTTGTGTTTGTGTGTTGTTACTTATGCCCGAGTCCCACTAGAGCGACAAACAGAAACAGACGACATTGACAAGCCTTGAACACATGCGGTATCCTCGCGATGGTATACCTTTGGCAGGCGTTTATAGTCGTTCGGTGCTCGTGAAGTGACCCCGGGTGATTGCAAGCCTGCCGAAGATACCCTCGCGTGCGTAATACTTGTATCCGAGTGTAGCCTCTTTTATTCTATGCACAAGCCTGTGAAATCGCGACAGCGACTCTGGTTTGAGGCTCGTCGCTGTCGTTTGTTTCTGTATTGTCGCTCTAGTGGGACTAGGGGCTAACAAGCGCACCAATGGGAAGGCTTTAGCCATTATTGGGAACACTAAATAAAGAAATACAAAAAAATACAACACCCAGCAACACTGCATGCAAGTAGTGATGCACTTCTGTTGTCAACTCCGCATTCCGCTTACGAATGAAATGTGCAATTTCCCTAGAGGCTTTCATTCCAGGCGAGTGGCATCAGAATTGCTGAAGGCCAGCCCATAAACAGTCTATGTTAAAACAATCCCAGCAGCAATAAGTTGCTATTGTATTGCCCAATATATGGAGCACCTTACCATAAACAGCCTTGGCAGTCTCCCATGAAGCCTGGACTTCAGCAGAGGAGACTGTCATCCTGTGTCGTCCCAGGACACTCACATCGGGATGGTGAAGGTGAATGCCAACTTCTGCTTGGCAAGGGCTGCAGTAAGTATAAAGATGAAAACAGAGTACAATATACAATAGAAAATATTGTGGACCAACTTGAAAAAAGTGCACAAAAAAAAAGACAAGGACAAAAGGACAGGAACACGTAGAACACAGACAGGTGCACACTAGCAACTCAATCCCTTAAAAACAAAAGAAAGAAGAGAGCATCAGAGAAATCAAAAAGGCTGTGCTCGGAGAACTGAGCATCAGGAACCGTGGCGCGAGGCAAAGATGTTAGGTAGATTGTTTTACAGAAGTTCTAGAATTAACAACATCCTTTCCATGTAGTGAAGTGGTGAGTTCATTCTAACTGAACATATTAAAAAATAGTACACAAAAAACAAGGAATAAAGGGTCGAGGAATACATACACTACATACAACTGCAGACTCCCAAGTCACATAAATTATAGCAAAAATAAAAAAAAAAGAATGCGGAAGGAGTTTTAGCAAAAGTCTAAACAGGTTCAAGTGGAACGTGTTAATTCAACCATAGCCACAAGGCTAAAACAATTTCCTTGTTAGCTCAAGTAACAGACGAATGTGCAGACACATTGGTTGCCCATACTATGAATAATAAACGCCTAAAATAATCCTCTTTTATGTTTTTCATAGTATATGCTAATTATTCACGTTTTTTTCTAAGGATGACATACACGAGCAGTGTAAACAGTGGATAGATAGCTGACAGTCCATCGTGAATTTTAGATAGAAATTGAGCTGTTTTGATGTATTAGCCATCGATCTGTTACCTTAAACGACGAGAAAATTATGGTTTTAAAATCTGCACTTGCTAATGGGTAAATCAGCGCGTTCCACTTGGGCCTCTGCTAGAGCTCCTTCCGCATTCTTTATTTCCTTCTTCTCTGTTTATGCGAGTTGAGTCTGCGCTTGCATGTGGTCTATGTGTTACCCTCCTTGTCTCCATGGCTTTTTGTGAACTAATTTTCAAGGTGTTCAATTAGCCCCAGCTCATCCCCTTACTACCAAAAACAATTACAACCTACACCATTCACTAAAGGCAGTACCAAAGAGAAAAAAACAGGAATTGGGTGAGGTATGAACACTATATACTTACACTGAACAAAATATACCTCCCATAAATTGGCGCGACACAATTCAAGATAAGGACACGCTTGTAAACTACCCCAGAAGCGGTGTCAAAACGTTTTTCGCGGGCACAAATTTTTGCGATCGGGAGTGGCATGCTATGCATTAATCACCGTGGGGTGAATTTACCGGGGCACCACTTTTTGGCAATTCTTTTCCGGTTATAAATCGAGAAAATGAAGTCGTTTGCAGGTGACTGGGCGGCGGAAGCTACGGGCCTGCTCGATCAATCAATCGCTGACATTTGCCTGGTCCAGCTCTCCGGACGCAAATACGCACACAGAATCCACCTGTGGTGTCAAACCAAGAGCTTCGGCGATGGAGGGGCACCGCGCTCTCCCAGACATTCTAGTTTACCAGTAAACAATACGGTGGAGGGAGGCAATCAAACCACCCCCCCCCCTCCCTTTATTTTTCCGTCTTAGCATGCCTGCCTGCCCGACTGCCTGCCCGCCCACCCCCCCGCCCGCCCCCATGTCCCGAAAATTTCCGCCGCTACTGATGGACCTGGAGCGAGTATGCAGCCTACGCGCTCATCTGTGACCGCTAATTGGTGCGAGGATGGAGTGCTCTGCATCGGGGGAAAAAAGAAGAAACACAGCCTGGCATAACACCATTCGCGCACAATTAGTAACAACGATACAAGCAAGTGATCTAGAGACAATAACAAGCATTATGAAGGGAGGAAAGAATAATCTAGCCCTAACGAACAAAGAAAGGAACTTACTTTGGAACGACCGTGCCACGATCTCGGCTGTTGAGCAGATTCGACGTAGTTGCACGGCTCACAGTAGCTTCCTTCTTTTTCAGACACACTTGAAACTAAGGTGAACTCCACGCATCACGAATAATCGGTAAATTTACTTTATGACGGAGATTTGAAACACACACGGACAACGCGACCGGCAAAACGTGCAAAATGAGATTGTGGATTATATTGGGTCGCATTCGTTGGCTATTATGGATGCCTAGCGACTTTACCGAGGCTATGTTCGCGTATCTTCAACACGCTTGCAATAAAACGATCAGCAAAGCGCTTTAAAACGATTAGAAGACACAGTAATATTAAATTATTGAACATGTCAACGTCACCACAATGTTAGAAATACAATCCTGAACAGGTAGCAAAAAATTAAATACGAGACTAGCCACACAATGTTTAAAAACGAATTCAGCAGACATATAAACTCCAAGAAAAACCACTGGAACCGATGGGGCGCGTGGCCTATCTTGTTAGCGCGCTATGCTTGTGATCGTATGGTCGATGGTTCGAATCCAAGAAAATAAAATATTTTTCTTAATTTTTTTTTTTTATTGATTTAAATATTTGCTATGTTTGTTTTTTTTCGCGGTCGCCGGCTCCCTGCTTTCGGGTAAAAATCACTGAAAATGTAAAAATAGAAAGTGCGAGCCTAAGTTTGAATTTTGATACATGCACAAGCCGTGGCCCTCTTGTTTTGCCGAGATAATTCGCTCCCTCTGTGCTAATAGGTGGGTCAGTGTAATAGCAAAGCGCCGCAAATCCTTTCAACGAAGTAAGGAAGGTAAGAATAATGGGAATATTGAGAGAAAAATGGGAAAATGCGTAAGTGGTCAAACTATACTCCGTTTCAAACATCGCGTGCAACGCTGGGAAAGCTACTGAAGTAGTGCGCATGAAAAAACACACACAATTGTGTTACTCCGCGAGATTTCGTGGACGAGCCGTACAAGGCGCTGCTCTGGCGATGCCGGCGATGCCGACATCTCGGTGGCGGTGGTTCGAATCCACTTAGGGCGCAAATGTTTTTTTTTTTTTTTTTTGTTTTTTTTCTTCGACCGATTTTTTGTGCAAGATTGTGCGTATTGCGGAAGTGCATATTTCAATTCCTCTTTTCTTGTTGATTTTTATTTATAAGAACGTAGACTAGGGGCTAGTGTTCCGCTCGAACTTGCGCCGGCCTCGTCAAAACGGAAGAACGGTCGAGATCCAGGGCGTCTCTATTTAACGCCGTTTATTTACATGGTAGCGTGAAAATCAGAGAGTACCTCGAGAGTGTGGTGGACGGTCCTTTATATAACGAATATTGTGATTAGGGGACCGCACTGCCATTGTTCAGACGGCTTGGCATTCCCTCACGTGATGTGACTTCACGGAAGTTTCCTTCAGAGTCAGAATACTCGCCGGTGTATGGAAGAAGTCATCCAGACGGCAGTATCTCGGTGCTCTGGTGCCGGCGCCCCCATAAACCGGGAGTGATTCACAATAGACGCGTACACAACACACGGCACTCGAGATCAGGATCGAGTGTTGTTTCCTTTTCGAGAAAAGCAGGGGCCTCGGAATACAGGCACGGGCATGTGCGTCGTTTACTTAGCCGACCAAGGTTAAGGTGCCTCAGGCAGACGGAGCCGACCATGGTTACGGTTCCGCAGGCAGAAGAACCCAGACGCTTCGGAATGCAATCACGGGCACCGCCTGCGTTAAGGTCCCGCAAGCAGATGGAGCCGTAGGCACGATTCATCACCGACACAGTTCCTTCTTGAGGCTTGTTTCACTTTGAAGCCATAAGGCCGATTTCAACACCAGAAATAACAGGTGGCAGTTCACAACACTGTCCGCGTGCTCGGAACTTTCACGTTGCGAGGTCTTCGCTTCGGGGACGCCACCTTGCCAGACACTCCGGTGTCGTTACTGACCGTCTCCAGGACCTCACGGACCGACGTCTCCAGGAAACACGTTCTTGAACTCGCGTACACGTTGGCGATCACCTGCTTGCACTTTTGCGAGATCTTCACACAACGAATCTTCGAAAATATCCGAGGAGGAAAAGAAAGCTTTTCGCGTAAGACGCCATCTTCGCGAAACCGGCGAGGCAGGGGCAGCCGCACAACCCGAAAACCCGAAGCGAGTCGAGTGCCGCACGAACGAAAACAGAAAATAATTTGGAGTAGTTTACATTATCTTTTCCTTTTTATTGAAAAAGAATAGGTGTTCCCTCGAAATCATAACGCCAATATTAGTAACTAGCTACAAAAATGTACACTTTTCGACTTTTTTTTTTTTTCAGGGCCGCACTATTTTGTGGAGCGAACGTAGTCGCGGTCGGCTGTGCAAACGGGCGCGCTAGCTTTGACTACGTTGCACGCTATGTTTGAAACTTAGTATAGCTGCCACAGTGAGGCAGCCAAAGTTTGACTGAAGGCGGTCATCTTTACCCACTATTCAAACGAAAATACCGCTACTTTAAGGCAGTTATTTACCTAAGCTCATAGCGCGCTACGTATTAAGCACATTTCTAAAATTTCTGACTACCGGAAAGTAGTACTTAATTTTGTTCTGGTACATCCTGGTTTCACTTATCGGGGTTGCACTCCGCAGTTTTACTTCTTTATTAGGCCTAGACATGTTTTTATTTCTGACACCCAAGAACAGTGCGGATACTTAAACTAGCTAGCAGAAACGGTATCGTTCGGTGTTATAACATTTGTTTCGTAGCGTCAAGGGGTCACGTTCACAAACCCGGCAGGGCAGACATCCACAGCGCATTGGTGTTTCTCGTTTTTTTCTGCTAAAAAAAAAAAAAAGGAACGTTTTTTTTTTTTTTTTTATATTCCCGCTTTTCTGGTGCGGTATGTCTATAACATAAGCTATCGGGATTCGGGCGACAGATCGTCTGGCTATGTGAACATTTGAAATATTTCTGTTAGATGATCGTAACTAAGACATTTGATTCCTGCCTGAATCAGCATATCTTCACACTCAATTAAAATTACTAATAACATGATCTGAGGAGATTTACGTACCTTTCGTGGCGTCGTGAGCAATAAATAATATTACTTTTTCTGGTTTCTGGGCAGTAATGTTTATTATTGTTTTTGAAGCTCAAAGCGGGTGCTCAATCCTGCCACGTGTTTTGTTTTTTTTTGTTTTTTTTCATTCGGAGGCTCCGCTACAGTGGCGTCACAAGGGGGCGGGGGGGGGGGGGGGGGGTGTCGCGGCGGGCTACCGCCCCGGGTGCCCCTGGCCCTCGCGACGCCACTGATCCGCTATACCGTTTTTATTTTTTATCTGAGTCAAACACGTGCGTATAGTGCATCAAATTAAACTAGATTCCTGAAAAAATATCGTTCGGCGTTGTAAAATTTATTTTTCGTGGCGTACGTGTTCAGATTATCAATATCCTGAATGTGCTTTCCTCGCCGCATTGTTTTTTTTTTTTCTCGTTTTCGCGGTAAAACACGTCAGCCTTGGCACGCTGGGATCAAATACGCCACCGTCGGCAGTCATTTACGAAGGATTTATCAACGCAAACATTTCCCCTCGCTATTCATGCTATTCATGCCGCAGTTGGTCAGAATCTCAATGATATGACTGCATAGTGAAAACGGCAAAAAAATAAAAATAAAACGATGTCGGTCAGCAAACGGAACTTCAACGGCAGGACTCGCCAGCGTGAAGAGCAAAGCACAGATTCCAGAAAGTTACTGAACTTCCATGTAAATACTGGCCATCAAAGACAGCAAAATACCGATGCCGGCCAGTTACTGGAACCTCCATGAAAATACTGGCCAGCAAAGACAGCAAAAACACAATTCCGGCCAGTCACTGTAACCAGATCTGCTCAACTGGCCAGTTCGTAAGACGAGACGCCAACGCCGGACGGGGCCGGAAGCTCAAGGGCGCGCCGGGCGCCGCATCCTTTTACAGGACCGGCCGGCGTAGCCCCGATACCGACCGACGCGGTGTGCTACCTGGGTACATGCATTTTGCTCAGGAAAAACTGCTTGCTTTTGTTTTTCAGTCTGTCTCTATATTTGCCTTTTTAAAACATGCTCTTCTTTTAGACTTAATCAATATTCTGCTGCAAGATGATTGCATTTGTTCATGTATACTCATCAGTGCACTAGCTTTTTTTCTTGTTTTGTTTGCGCTTCACTGGATATCTGTATAACAAACCTAATAAGAGTTCAGGTGAGTCATGTCCTGCATCTAATTTGTCTGTTGCCTATAAACATTAGATTTATTGCTCTGCATTTTGGCAATACGCTTTTTCGCTAGAATACAGAACTCATAAGGTCACAACACAGAACACGAAACTGACTTCGGAACAATGTTGACATAAAGTATTGATGCCTGTGCATTAGAAGCCCCATTTCGAAGATAAGCCCGCGTGGTCGACGTCGTCGGCGTAGTGTTCTGCGCACTGGGATGAACGATGTAATTAAAAAAAAAGACTTACAAAAAGTTATATTTTGCATGATTTCTGTAGAATATATCTTGAGGGGCACATTCACAGGCTTCCCATAGGCGTCACACATGTCCCGTGTAGCTACACAGAGCGTCCCGTAGCGTGTGGCATCCCTACAGCAGCCCGCACAATGTCGCACTTGTCCTATGGGATGCTAGGCTCTATCCCCACAGGCTGCAGGGTACCTACATCAACCTATAGAATTTCCTACATGTCCCATAAGAGCCAGAGTTTTATCCCCACAGACTCTGTGGGTCACCTAAAGAACCCCCACGGGCTGTGTGGGTTACCCCAAAGAAGCCCCACAGGCTGTGTGGGTAACCCAAAGGAGCCCTTACAGGCTGTGTGGGTTACCCAAAGGACCCCACACAGTAACCCGCATGTCCCATAGGCCCACAGGCCTGACCCCACAGAAATTTCAGGACACCCATACAACCCCATGGGTGCCCCATAGAGACCTCTAGGACCCCACACAAATTTTCTGTGTGTGCTCTGTGGGCATTTGGACCAGGGACTGGCAATAAGTTGGTCCTTTCGCCCTGAAGATAAACAAACTGTTCTCTGCGCGATAAGTATGCCTCCATACAATCTACAACTTGACTGTTCTTTAGAATGAGACTAAGTTTATGTAATAACTTCGGATGCAATACGCGATCGAAGGCTTTC